AGCCCTCGTGTAGCTTTGCGCGAAATTCAAAACAAACAAACAAATATCGTTATAGTTCATGTCGACATGTCTAGTCATGATCTATCTGATGAACGCGTATCTTGAAAAGAGCCCTATAGCGTAGTTTGTATTGCAAAGGGCTCCATCTAAGTGTGCTATATCTAAAGCACAACACTCCTCTGTAGAGTCTAGTCGCACAAAAATACATAGGCGTTGCGTCCTACAACTTTTCCGGTATGTATTCGTATGGAATATCATGAATACCCGTTTCATTCTCCATCTGCTTAAGGTACGCGACTACTGAACTGGAGGTATGACTGGAAGATGTATGCAAATGAACCAATACCCTGTTCGCCTAGTTTTCAAACAGAGATTCTTCTTGATTATGTTGCATGCTGTTGCATGGACAGCTTTTGCCAGTGACCTTTTTATTTGCAGATTCTCGCCTATTACAACACGCCGCACTTTGTTTAGCATAGCTGAGGTAAGTCTTGTTGTAGATCTTTTTCTGGATGGTTCTGGTTCCCCAAGTTCGTGTATATTCCTTTGTTTACTATAGCTGAGGTAAGTCTTGTTGTAGATATTTTTCTAGATGGTTCTGGTTCTACAAGTTCATCTGTATTCCTTTGTTTACCATAGCTGAGGTAAATTTTGTTGTATATCTATTTCTGGATGGTTCTGGTTCCCCAAATTCATCTATATTCCTTTGCTCACCATCGCTGAGGTAAGTCTTGTTGTAGATCTTTTTCTGGATGGTTCTGGTTCCCCAAGTTCATCTATATTCCTTTGTTTTCCAATGGCAATAAATACAAGAAATTTCCCATCTTGGAAAGTCTAGATCTTTTATCCAATTACACTTTTATGATCTGAGTGCATGACAATCCTGCGCCGGAGAAGCTATTAAATACCATTTCTGAAAGCATCAAATATTCGATGGTATCACACGGCAAACAATGTCAAGATGCAGTTTTGATACACTCCGTTCCACCGCGACTTTATATCGGCTGTGGTGTCACGTGACTTGCTGATTTGCATATTAAAAATCATTTTTAACATAATGTATTCAACCCTTTGTAGAAGTAACAAAAATAAAATTGGAAGCTAAACGTTATCGTTATCTCTGGACTAAATATAGCCATCAAGAAGAGAAAAACTAAAGATTAGCATATAGCATGCTTCTTGAGTCAATAATGCAAAAAAATCCGACACGAAAGGTTAACAGTAATTCTGTAAAAAAAAGGGACATGAAAAGAAGGGGGAAAATGTAGCAACATTTGTAGAATCGAAATTCAGTTTGTTAAAAATAAAAATAAAAAGTTTACATTTTATTTTGACCATTAAAACGAAGAGAAGGAAGACCTTCTAAATAAATGTGTGAAATAATAATTATTTAAGCATTATTAGTGAAATGGTTCTTGCTAATTAATTCTTTCTAGATAAAATGAGCACAACAATGAATTATTGTTACTAGATCATTATTTTATACAAGAATATTAAGAACAACATCATGAAAAACTTGTCCTTATATTTGAGAGAAGATTTGTTATTAAAGAATCACACTTTGCTCACATGTGACTCACTAACACTTAACTTAAAAATGTTGAATCAAAATTTTTTGCAAAGAAATAGGTTTGATGTGATGTGTAGTTTCTTAATCATAGTTAACCTAGCGAAATAATCCTATTGTCCTAAGAAGCCGGGATTTCTTGACCCCATTTTAGCAGGGTCAATACTGACTGAACGTTATACAGACGGTGCCCTTTAACTAGCCTGGCCCACCAGTTATTTCTGCTTAAGAAAGTTTGTTTTTTAGAACAAAGCCACACTGGATTATTTGTTGTGTCCACCGCGGGGAATCGAACCCCGGATTTGAACGTTGTAATTTCGTAAATTTACCGCTGTCCCATCGGGGGACGCTTAAGAAAGAAACGGCAATGACAAAGTGTAGTATAATGAACTTCCGTCCCAAAGTGACAATTAGTGTATTTAGTATAATGAACTTCCGTCCCAAAGTGACAATTAGTGTATTTAGTATATTGAACTTCCGTCTCAAAGTGACAATTAGTGTATTTAGTATAATGAACTTCCGTCCCAAAGTGACAATTAGTGTATTTAAGTCACTTCGTCTCTGCATTTGTTCCGCGTTCTTTCGTGGCTGTGTAGTAGTTTTAGTTGTTAAAATTATCTTATATTACACAAATATTTGAAGTACTTATTATAGAGACGATGTTTATCGAGTAGCGTACCCACAATGCCGTTAATAAATGTTGTATACGTCATATGTATGCTGTTACATATATAAAGTGGTCAACATTGCTCCAAATCATTGTTCATTACCATCGAAGACAGAAGACATGCAATCAATAACATAATTACGAATTTAACTCAGTTCGACTGTTAAAACACGATAACATATTTAGCACACATATACATTTTTTAACAACAAATATCAAACTTCAGCTTCACAGAGTGATAAGTTAAGACTCGGGAAAGAATCCCGAACCTCTGTCATGCCAAGCGAATGCGTTATTAATTAAATTAAAAGGCAAATTAACTCTCTGGCAATTCCTATACAGTAACAAGTAAGATACTTTTTAATAACCTTGATTACATGGATACTATATCCCTCCCTCACCCCAAAAAATCCTGTCGTCAGATCTAATCTCAAGATTATGGGGCAACCTCTAGCTGGCCACAATTCTTTTCGTGATTATCCAACTTTTGCATGTTCCGGGATCGAACCCGATACTTTTCGCACTAGAAACAAAACTACCAACTGCCCGTGACATTTTCTAACAACTCGGTATTTGTTAATATAATCCTTGTTCCTTCTAACAGAGACTGGTATAGCAAACTTAAGTATGTGTATATCACTAGGATATATCCTAGATGTCAAGTTGGGTGACAATGCGTGATAATTGGGATAGACCGAACGACAGAGAAGTAAAATATACAGAAGAACCTACCTGATATCTGTTGAGGATCTTGGACACACAACCATGAGACACCCGCAACTGTCGACTTATCACACATGGTCTGATTCCAGCAGCAGCCATTTCTACAATCTTCAAACGAATATGATTGGGCAGTGGTCGGCCGTTGATGAAGACTCCACCTAGCTGGTTGACCCTACCTTGACCTGTGAGTAAAAGTGCTTGACAGTTAACACTACCTTAAAAATAACACAGACAATGAAACCACTCATCAATTTTATACTGGTTCACACGCCGAAAATAAAAATTCAACATCCAACGTTACATAGTCTCACAGAACAGTGAAATTAATACGTCTAAAATTCACGAATCTTCACGATCTTGTGCTGTGCATGAAGACTATAAGAAAAAATCCTCTTCCACCCAGCCACTAATGTTTTATGTGACTAATTAAATGTCCTGTACCACAAAAACTGTCTAAATAATATATCAAACCCCGTTGGGCAGCGATCTGTTATTATTCAGGATGATTGTTTAAAATGCATCACACTTTGAAGCTTTTCCAGCCAATTCGAGATAAAATAACTGATCTAAGTGCCTACGCATTGCACAAAGTGCCAAAATACGTATAATGATAACGGTTGAACATAATCTATCGTGTGCTTTGTTTGATCTTTATGTGTAGTCATTCTTGGGATCGAATGTTTCGCTATTGTGCAATCTATGACATTCAGTGAATTAAAAAATAATAATTTCACGCACAGAATAAAACACGGGTTTCTTTTGTAATTTATTGTTTGCTGTAGCAGAAGAAATTTCGAAATGCCGGCTAAGGTTTCAGAAACAAAGATCCACTTAACATCTTTCATGATAACGTTTATAAACTGTAAGAGATCATTTCACATGGTTAGCGGTCCTTAATAAATATTCGGTCAAAGAATACGCAAACTCTCATTGTTGAATATATTTAAATGTGTATATTTAGTCGTCAGATTTGGAATTTCTTTATTTGCTTTCTCAGGTTGCGTATTTTTTTAATCACTTTTAATTCTATTTAATTTGTTAATTGCTTTAAATGGAGCTACTGCTCTATATACAATGGTAAATCACGTGAATATAACACGCTTTGTCTGTGACCTTTCACCTTTCCAATGATAAAGTACTCATTACTTCAACAAAGTTACGCACCTGACTCTAGTAAATTATCGTTATAGTTTTTATGTATCTAAATATATGTTTTATATATATATTATAAAATTGTAACTTTGTTTATTATGACCACTTGTCTTTCCAAAAATACTTACAAGAAACATTCAGAGATCATCTGCACTTGAACGGGCCTTGAGACTGGGCATTTGATGTGCATATGTACTTGTAACGCTTTTAAACGACCAGAGGCGATAATGCTTCATTTACAGTTCTTTCATTTACTATTCGGTAGTCTTGAAAGTGTTAGGGGTTGGTCCTTAAATCCCCAATCGTCATTACTTTGAACCCCCGTATGTTTGAGCCGTGAAACGTGTTAAATATATTAAGCCAGTTTTTATTGCTTGTTTTTCTTCTTCTGAAGTCGTAAAGAAGACTGCTATTGGACAAGAAAACAAAAAGGAACGTAGATCCAAAACCGTAAAGTTGCAACGATGTATCGACAAATTTAGCAGCTTCTTTTAACCACGGTCAAAGGTTGGACAAAGGGTCATTGTAACTATAAATATTTATAATATATCGACAAATTCAGCAGCTTCTACTAATCACGGTTAAAGGTCGGACAAAGGGTCATTGTAACTATACATATTTATGGTTTTTCTGTTATTAACTTTAAGCTATTCTTTAAAAGCAGTTTTTTTTCCCTATTTTAGCTCTTTTCAGAACTTTCTGATGAACAATGCTATTATTAGAAGATAAACAAACCATCACAATAGCTAAATATAGACATATTTATTCACTGGCAAAACTTCCAAATGTCGCTTTAGTTTTCGTAAACTTAAAGCCAATAACTACTCTTGTAGGACATCATACATGCTACGCGTTTTTCTGCAGATTTTATAACTAAGTCGAGGATTTTCATCTAATACCCATTATACGGAATATATTTCTTGTTAAGTTCGTAAAACACTTTCTTTGTGAGAATATTTTAACGTTTCTGTGTAATTACGTATACACACGTTTCGGAGCTTTGTTAGTGCACGACAAGAAACTTGTGGAGGATTACTATGGCTGGTATCAATGGATATATATATTAGATCTATCACAGGTATATTATACTTTCTATGGCTATACATGCACAATCTTTACATCTATCACAAGTATATTGTACTTTGGTCTATTATATTTCATATGGTTATAAAAATTAACATTTCTGAGCGGGTGAAAACTGAAACCGAGTGGATCTCAAACAAATACTTTAGCTAATTAGACAATCTTTTTTGTGCAGCTCAGAATCAGTTTATTTTGAGAAGTCTGATATGATATATAAATGTGTAAGGGTTACACGCCATCTACTGATACTACGTTTTGTTTCTGTATAAAGTGAAAAGTGGAATCGATCAAAATTAGCCAAGTGGATCTGCTTTCCAAGCAGATGTTTTTGTGCACTGGATTTATTGGATTCAACATTTCACCGTTTTCATTTCGAAAGAACGGAATTTTGTCAAACTATTTTACACCATAAGTGAACCTGTTGGTTTTTAAGAATCAGGAGTCTAAGTTACTTAGAAATAACTATATGTTGGGGAGGTTATCTGTGTGGCTAACTTAATTACATTAATGTAAAATTACATAAAGATAAAATCTTATCTCCGTCAAAACGCCATCTTGAGACGTTTATCTTGATGGTGTATACGAGATAAAACGGGTGTTTCAAAGAATGAATGAGAATACATATGTATTAAATTAGTTTCTATAACGGGCGTCTGTCCTTTTGGTACCTTCTCATTTAACTTCTTTTCTTATCACGCTGCTATTTTGGAAACGTCCACAATAAACTCCGCCCTTAAGATTTAGGCCTAATGAAAAATTTTCACAGCTTGCATTTTACTCATACAAGCATAATAAAATCTGCCATAAAAGGTTTATTTTGCTTTCAAAACTGAACACAAATTTTATTACTGAATGACAAAAAAAAAGCTTCAATACGGGAAAACTTCTAGTGTTATGTTTATTAAATGAAGTTAATTAATGCTTTATACAACAAAAAAACACGCCAAAAAATTAGACACTTTGAAATACAGTTAGTTAACTATTGTGATACTCATAGAGATACGGTCTAGTCTAAATTTTCTTTTACAAATAACAGTTATAAATAACTATAGTCTCTAATAACGTTTTCACCTTGAATGAGAGTTAATTAACACTCATTAAGAGAAACAGTTTAATCTGATGTTTCCTCTTCGAATGGCAGTTAATTAAATCTTTAGTTTAGCAATCACCTCGTATCTACATATTACACATTAATCTTGTTGCACTCTATCTGTTTCTATACACATTACAGTTAATACATTTATTTTAACTGCTTGACAGAAGAGGAAATAAATAACATTAATGGAAACAGTATTCGCACTGTGTAAAGTATTATCATAAGTAATACTATAATTTTTATGTGAATAGGTAATAGGTATGGTGATAAATCAAGATATGAAAAAAAATCAACGTTTTACACTACGAAAATATTCTAATATAAGGATACAAACTCATATTTGGTTCTATACTTTGTGTTTAAGCGCAAAGCTGCACAACTGGCTGTGTAGGCTTTGCCTGCTACGGGTTTTTAGGGTATGAGCTCTAGCTTAGGAATGAGCCACTGAAAGAATGGGTCTACACAAAGTAAATACTTGTTTATGTTTTGTTGGTATACATTACATGTTTTGTAAACCATATCATTTTACTCAAAAGATATGAAAATATAACTTTACAAGGGACAAGGTTCGTATGGTATGTCTCTCACAGATCTAATTATGTAATTTCTTCGTTCAATATGTGTCATCTATCTTCGGTTTTGCGACAGATGGAAATGAAGTGTGTGCATGTGTACATACAAGACGGTACGGAAGTCGTAAGAAGTTCCATCCATTTAATGTTCAGAGTAAATAACGTGGAAAATATTTGTTCTACTATGACGGACAGGTGTACATAATATTATTCACATACCTAAATTAATTTAGGTTACTAATTAATGTTAGGTAAAGTTAAAAAGGACTCAAAACGTCATAGATAAAGGTGTATTAATTATCCTAAGTAATATTGTAATACCAATAACAGCCCGATGAATGCTGTACTGTTGTTACAGCTTTTATTGTTGGGAAAGTTATTTTGGATTATTCGGTAAAAGACAAGAAGAAGAAGAAAACGGTTTTACGAACTAATTCTAGGCCTAACTTCACAGATAACACTAACCACTCATTTTCTTGCTAACATCTCGTTCGCAAGGTACGCCTCACACCTCTAAAACAAACGATAATTTACGAAGTTGAAGTAACAAATAAATTTACTAACAAACTCGTTAACTCAGTAATAAAACCACCACTGTAACTGACTCACTAATCAATAAAAAATCTAGTTTAACTTGCATTTTATATCATATCTAATCATCAAGACACGTGCTTGCCATCTGACGTTAAAACCTCTCTCCAAGAAAAAAACAACAAAAAAAAAAACATAAAAAATGTCTAACTTTAAACCAAAATAAATGTTAGATATAAAGGACTGTTTCAATTTAAATATAGTACCAGTGTTAAATTTAGATATTTTTACAAGCAATAGTTTATCTCAGGTTTGTTTACATAACTGTGTGAACCATACATGTGTAGTTCAATTCTTGTGAATTGGCGCTTGATATATTATTGCGTCATGTTACTAGAACCTTCTAAGTTTTTCTCGAGTATTATTACATCATAATATCTTTAATGTGGAATTTCTAGGCCTCGTTCGGGCTATTTATGAATACGCGATCAAAATGTAGTTCAAGTAAGTTAGTTAGAGATATAATGGGATAGATCTAGAATGCATGTTTGTGAGTTTGGCCATAAAGAGCTTATACTAGCGATTTATTAAAGTGAAATTATCACAGATTGTACTCCAATAACTTGTCTTGTCAAATGGGTTTCAAAGTAATTGAACCAGCCTGTGGGGACTTTGACGAAAAAGAGGCAATTATTTAAAGCTTTGGATACAACTATGGTAACCAATGGTTATAGTGGTGATTCTAAAA